GCAGGCCCCAGGACCGAGCCCTGGGGGACTCCGCTACCCACCTCCCCCCAGGTCGAGTATGACCCATCCACCACCACCCTCTGAGTGCGACCCTTCAGCCAATCTGCAATCCATCTGACTGTGTAGGCATCTATGCCACAGTCGCCTAGTTTTTTTTTTAACTAGGATGGGGTGACAGACGGTGTCAAAGGCCTTGCTGAAGTCCAGAAAGACTACATCCACCGCGACACCTGCATCCATAAAGGGGAGAGACTCATTCATGAGAGCTCTTTATGATTCTGTGGTATCTCATTAAGACCCAATTGTGAAAAGACACTTTAGCAGTGCCTGGACCAAACCTTTAACAAAGTGAGAGGTCCGGTGTGTGCTTGGGAGGGAGGCGGGTGAGGTTGGAAGAAGTGTGTTTCACTGGGGAGATTGAAATAATAGTCTATAGGCATACAACCTCTACGTTTCAATAAGGAAAATTGTCTTTTTATGACGTCCTGTGGAACCCAGAAGGTTGAAAGAAAGAGAAGGGGGAAAAAAGGTATGCCTTATCCCAAGGAAAGGCATCAGCATTACTTACCCCCACATTACTTGCTGCTGTATCCAGGCTCAGTAACCCAGTTTCCAGAAAGGTTCTAGGAGCTACTATCGTTTATAGCAACCGACACCTTGCATATGAAACAGCTGAGACAAAGAGCTCTGCAAGCTTTTCTGCCATCTCAGTCTGAACTTTGTGTATGTGCTAGCCAGAATCAGGTTCCTACCAAAACCTTCCCTTGAGACTCAAAGTGAAACTTTTCTGCTTTTTTTTTGCAAGCTGTGCAATAGAGAAGTTCAACAGCTGAGAGAGGGGAAGGGGTGAGGGAGGGCCTTTAAAAAGATTGACTCTGGATTCCAGCTGCTGATTCAGATTTTTTCTTTTGTGTTTAGCAGTTTTGAAGAAAAAAACTTGAAAGACATTGGGAAAAACATAACTTAGTAAACAATATTATGACATCTATGAAAGTTCTGTTACAGAAAGAAAATGAAGTCTGCTATGTATACTGTAAGAAAAAAAGAAGGAAAGAAAGAAAGAAATATTGTATCATAGCTACATAAAACACTAGGGAACTGCGTTAAAGTATAGCATGATATTTTCATACATTCCATACTAACCAATAAGAAGAAGGGTTCCAACAGCTAACCCTCCACCTAGAAACAAAACAAAACCAAGAACAAAGTAAGGCTACATTTTAGTATAACATTAAAGAACAATTAAGTTCTCTTAGTTTATAAATCAAAGAAAGGTGATACAGTGAATTTAAAAATGTAAATTTGAACAACATTTTAATTACCTTTGCAATACTTCCTACAATTCTCTATTATGAAATAATTACATATTACATGTAATTATATATTACACATTACAATTACTTTCACAATATATTGTACCACTCTTTTTATGGTGAAAAGATCCTGCAGAGTTCTACCCAACTGAACTTAAGTACCGTTATAACAATGTAGGGCCTGAGCCAGCAACCCATTCCTTTAATTGTAATACTCTCATTAATTTTTACTCATATGAATAACAGGATCAGACTTCTATTTATAGTAGAGGTTTACAGTACTAACTTTGTGCCCAACAAATAAATGTGCAAAAAAGGGATCACTGAAATCCCACTGAAGTCGCTGGGCAAAATTTTAGCTTCTTTAAGGGAATGGTAAAATTCCTGTTACCGACATGAGAACTATTATTTTGCATATACAGAGATGTCACAATATATCAAGCAAAGTCAAAATGAAACCGTTCCCTTATTGGTGCTTCCTTGCAAATATATGTAGGATTGGACAAACATAATTAGTTTAGAATAAAAATATGCTGTACATTTTTTTTAAGACCATTAATGCTTTTATTTTATCATTCTAAAAGTTTTACATTAACCCAGCGGTGCTCAGCCTACAGCTCGCAGGCTGGATTCAGTTGCTGTATGGAGGTTCAACAACAGCACTGACTGGTGCATCTCTTTCGTTGCCCTTTGCCACGTGGCTGATCCACTTTATGGACCTCCTTGCTCCCCCCTTTCATACCACAGGTGCTGTTTTACCAGAGATAAGCTTTCTTCCTTTCTCCCCTCCCCACTCTTCCCCTTTCCCTCTGACATTGGCAACCACCTCTCTTCCCCCGTTTCCTTACAGGGAGTGGTGAGCCATGGTGCAGCCAGGTCCCAAGTACCTGGCCTACCACTCTAAAAGGTTAGGCAACACTGTACTAAGGTGTCATAATTTTCTATTCACTGATTATCAAATAGAATATAATAATATTCATATTACCACATGTTCTAATGTATATGGATTTTAATACAGAACATAATATAAGAACATAGGAATGGAGGGGACCTCCTTGGTTACTGAATCTAGTCCCTTGCTACCATTAACTCAGACCCGAGACTATGATATGCTAGTGCATCAGTTTCTTCTACAAAGAGTAACAACATTTGTTAGCCCAAACACAAATTTATACAGGCATAATTTTAGTAATGAAGGTATGAAGGCTTAATAATTTGCTTGTCTGCTAATCAATTAACAGTTTTCACCAGACAAATAAAGGTAAGTAGAGAGAGAGAGAGCATGTGTGCAAAACAAGCTCTGCTACCTGAAACTCATAATCTAGAATTATACCCATGTCTTATATTGGGTGAAAAAGATTTAAAGAAAAAAAATTTGGATTTCAAGGTATTCTTATTCTAAAGAAATAAAGAAACGAGAGCCAAGTGACCAGGAGCTCTTGGGGACTCTGGGGTGGAAAAACCATGGGTCTGTCCAGGAAAGGGGTGGTCTTGGAGAGCAAGACCTCTCCTCCATATTGTTTAAGTTATTGAGGTGGGGGAGAACACAAAACAACCCCGGCCAGTCTACAGCTGCCGCCAGGGCCATTAAACTCATCTAGGAGCTGCAACTGGTCTAATCAGGTTGAGACAGTACTTCAGACCACTGAGGAGCCCAGACATGGCATGTGACCAACAGGTTGGCGCTTGGAAGGGATGTAGGGGACATGGAGCCCAAGGGATGTCCGTCCAGGGTGCTCTCTTATGAGTACGGGTCATACAGGAGCTTCCCACATTATCTGTTAAGAGCAAGATGTGGCAGGCAAGCAACGGGAATTTCCCATAGGAGACTGCATACGGTGGATGCTAGTGTCTGAGGCAGACAAAGCCCAAGTGTGGACCACCTGGCCCTGAGCTGCTCGGGGGCAGTTGCTCAGGCTTAGATGGGCATACCACTCAAAGTAGGAAGATCTGAGGGTAGAATAACAAATGTGATTGTTGCTATTTCAAAGAAGAGACTGAGATTATGAAAAGTAACAGGTGTTTTCATAGTATGCATGTATGGAATGAAGCAGTATGATGCAGAAAATACTGGCCAATATGATTTTTGGAAGTACAGCATTCCCAAGGAATAGAAATATATAGCTATCTATTGAATTTTCACTGTTATAGTATGTACTAAAAGGAATACTTTATTGCAGACTTAGAAATCTGTTAAAAGTATGAATCAACCCAATTTATAGGGAACATCAAGCGTATATATCTAAATAAAACTACCACTAAGCTAATACTTAGTATTTGTATAACTACTTGGATCTTCAATTTTAAGCCATGTACTATTTAATCACACGATTCTGAACTACTCAAAACAAAAGAGCTTCCAGCATGAGATGCTGAACTATTATAATGGATAAAAAATACCTATTTGGTCATGGAATATATGTAGATATATACCATAACTCGCTAGAGTGCTCAAGCACATCTCTACAAGGCCTAAGGTTTGCTGGGTCAGATATTGCAGATACTCCCTCCTTTTGGGATAATGTCTGACATTAAAAGAAAAAAAATAGCTGCCAACGTTGAGATGAAGTAATAAAAATTAAACAATTAAAAATAAGCTCAAGGAAACTGCTGCACAGTCCTATTTTTGCTTAACAGTTTCTTTTCAGGACTGAGATAATGCTGTGGTACAGGCTTTAACTGTGACTACAAATATGTGCTACTGGCAGGATTTCACTAACAGGACCTAATGTCATGCCTCTGTCTAAGAGCTTCTAGCCTTTGTAAATGCCTAATTCAGGCCAAATTTAGAGGGTAGAATGTTTATCCATGCAGATTTTTTTAAATTTTTGCAAAATAACAGTGCCAAGCACATTATGGCAAATTCCCATGCAGTATTTTGCCAATGATTTGTGAAATTACTACCAAGCAAGGGGAGAGAAAAATCTATACAGCACTCATAAAGCTACCAATAACATAAAAACATTGTGTAGATGAGCCAGAAGAGATCATTTTCTTAAGAACAGGAGGCTTAGTGTGGGGATGCAGAGTTTTGCAGGCCTCGCATGTTACTTTCTCTCTTGAAATCAAAATGTCCCTATCCCATTCATTGTTGTCCCTGCCTGGAATGGGAAGTTACTAAGAGCTTGAAGAGAAGATATGTGTATCAGATGGCACACAAGATGTGAAGGAAGATGTTTCTCAATTTACTTAACAAATAAATCACTAATTATGTCAGAAAGGAGAGTAATTTGAGGGACTGATCGTGTAGGGAACTCTCCACATATTCTGACCCATTCTATGCATGTAAATTGAAGTGGTCAGCTAAGTCTTACATTTATATCATCGACTAGCCAATTTCCCATCAAGAATGACATGGGGAGGGGGGTGTGAGCGGGCGGGGACGGAGTACAGTGTCCACACCTGCTGCATCTGGGTCTGCTCCCCGCTTCCTGCTGCAGCAGTAGGAGGGGAGAAGCAGACCTGGGGCTGATGCAGGGGCTGTGGGGGAGGACTGGGCCCAAGGATAGGGAGAAGCCAGCCCGCCATGGCAGTGGGGTGGGGGGGGAAGGGGGGAGCAGTAGGCCTGGGCTGACACAGTGATGTCAGGGAGATGGGAGGAGTGGGCTCAGGGCTGATGCAGGGGTGGGGGAGAAGAGGGCCTAGGCCCAAGGGGGAGAGGAGGCCCACTCCTCTCCTCCTGCCACCACGACTATGTCAGCTCGGGCCTTCTCTTTCACCCCCACCACCGCCGTTCCATGCCCACTCTTCCCCCCCGCTCACATCAGGCTCACTCCTCCCCACACCGCCGCTGTGTTGGCCTTGCAAGTAGCGACAGTGGAAGTGGGGAGGGGCAGGTCAGAGCCAGCACCAGTGCATCCCGACCCTGCCAACCCCCCCCTGCTGCTGCCTCCAAGGAGTAAGGGGCTGGGGCCAGGCCAGCTTCAGTGGCATTGCCCCCCACCCTGCAAGGAGTGGGTCCGGGGCTGACCCCTCTGTCCCCACCATCATGGCAGCGCTGTGCTGTGGCACCACCACCTGTCTCAACGCTACATTTGCAGACTGATCGGTTGTTTCAGTCAGCCAATCAGAGTGCAAATAAAGCATTATAGGCAGACAGATAGATTAAGCCTTTTATAACACTAGAACAATATTTTTACAACTGTATAGTACTAATACTAAGTATTTCTGCTGAGGAGGAAGTTTTTGTTTTGTTTTCTCTCCCTCCTAAGGTTCTATCTCTGGATACTAGGATACCAAATGCAAGTGTTATTTCAGTTTTTTTCAACAGAATATGCAGGCCCTTAATATGCATCGCCTCATATATAGATGCTTCCACCTAGTAAACTGACAGAACTGAAGACATCTCCCTCCAGGCATAAGAGGCCGAGTCAAGACTACCAGTCTTTGTACCTAAAGTCCTGTCTAAGCTGAAGACTTGCTTCCAGAGCCATTGGTAACCATCACAGAGGTGTCTGTCCTTCTGCAGTCCCTTAACACAGACAGGTAAACCCTCTCTCTGTACTAGACCAGTGATTCTCAACCAGGGCATCATAGCACTGTGGGGTGCCCTGAGATCCTTTCAGGGTGCTGTGGGGTATCATGCACTGTTAGGCATGTGAACATGATTCACAAGCTAACACCAGAGATTTTAAATTGAAATCTACACAGCATGAAAAACACACGGACCTATTGGGGTCTTTCTGAGTTTTTGCCACAGAAGAATTGCTCTGTTATTTTTCCATAGAAACGGAGTGAAAACTAAGAGTTGGCATTTTCAGAAAGGGCCCTTGAACATATCGAGGGAGCCCTTGAGTCTAAAGAAGTAGAAGTGCACCGATATATCAGGTGCCTATTGGACTGGCACCAAGAAAAGGGAAATTTACATGATCAGCTATTGACTTTTTTTGGCAGTTGTAGTTTATAATGTTCCCTGGTAATTATGTCTTTTGGCCAGGGCCTCTGGACGCCTGGGTTCTGTCCCGCAAGCCAGGGTGACCCTAGACACCCCCATCCCTTCACCAGTGAGCTGGGCTGGGCTGGAGCAGAGCAGCTGCTGTCGTGTCTTGGGTGCTGGTGTGATGCAGCATGGAGCAGACTGCAGTCAGGGGCCAGGGTGGGCACTGCAAGAGGCGCTGAATGCCACACTTGTGACTGGGGATAGTGGAGCTCAGCTGCCTGGCCTGGCCCAGTGCAACTCAACCTGCAGTTAATGTTGGTTATCAGATCGGTGTTGGCTGATTAGGGTTGCCAACCTTCCAGGATTGCCTTGTAGTCTCCAGAAATTAGACATAAATTTCCAGGAGACTGAGTCACCCGGGAGATCAATGATAGGGAATTCATTAAAATAAATATTAAGTGTTGAATCTGATTTATACAGTTGTCCGGTGGGTTTTTAAAATGTGAAAGTAACACACATTTGCCTTTCTGATGTAAAGTCAACACACTGTAAACCATTCTGTGATGAAACCCCCCCAGAATAGATTCAGAGTTGGCAACCCTACGGCCAATATGGCTGGTTAATAATCGGCCATCGGTATCAGCCAAGAAAATCTTTATCGGTGCACCCTTATAAAAACCACCATCCAAGAGCAGAGGTTCCCAACCCCGGCCTGCAGCACCAGGGCTACGGGTTGGCTGCTGGTCCATAGGAGAGTTGGCTGCCACACCAGAAGTTCAGAAGCAACCGGCATATTTGGTATCAAAAAGGATATATAAAAAGGGCTGCAGGTCCACAGTATGCCAGTCACTTCTGGACTGCAGTTTGCCGGCCCACAGTCACTTCCAGTCCGCGGTCTAAAAAAGGTTGGGAACCACTGTCCTAGAGGAACTCACTGGGTCAAGATCGGTGTCAATCGCAGCAGCTGATCACACCAAACCTAAGCACAAAACTCAAGTAATCAACTTGAGCAAGAGGCTTCCCCATTCAATACCATCTTTCCACTTCCCAAAAAGAGCCAAGCAGGGCGGCGTCTTGCTCGTGGGCAACTTGAGTGAAGAGCCAGACAGGAGCCGTGGCCTGTCACAGGGGTGGGGGGGCGCTCGCATAGAGCAGGCACGGGGGTTGCAGTGGGCTCGGGCAGGGTGCTCCCGCCGCCTCAGGGGCCGCCCGGGGACACGCGCGGCGCCGACCCGCGGCAGGGCTGGGAGGGGAGAGGGACGCGGCGGGGCGAGTGGAGCCCCTGGGCACGCACCTAGCACAGCGTCCAGGGACGGGACCCCGCTGGAGAGGAGCAGCTGGCCGC